AGATGGGCCAAGGTGGAGTCATAGATTTGGACAGCTGCAGAGGCTGAAATCTAGATCTGAATTTCATTGCTCAGTTCTACAGTAGATCCAAGCTTGAGATGGAGATATCTTCCACTTGTATAGAAGCTAGAAGCTACAGTAAATGTGAATTATGGTGTTTCAGCTCATCACAAGTTCATAACACCATTGTACGAGAAAATGGAGATACAGATCAGACTTTCCTTAAGGAGTGGGATCTATGCTTTTAAACTGAGTCTTCCTGCAGTTTAGTCAATACCCTGCTCAAGTCCTTGAATTTGGGAATAAGCATCTAAAGAGTTTACAGAGAAACTGTAAGGAGTTTTAGTGTATACATTTCTAGTACAGCTGAAGGGTCTGTTTTGCTTTTGCTTGTTTCATCTGAAGATTCCCCCATCCTGTATTCAGGCTGATGTGGAGATGATTCCCCCACCCTGTATTCAGGCTGATGTGGAGATAGACAAAAAAAACCACTGCTGTGGACCCTGACTGTGCATCATAATCTGGGATTAATGGAAGGCTGTGATAGTTTATAGTTGCATTGAATGGGTTACCTTTAGCTCTCAGCAGTTCTGGAGCTGAAACCAAATGTTCCCTGTGCTACTTTAGTGGGTCTGCTAGAGTCCCCTAGGCACTCCTGCCTTCTGCTGGCTAAGCTGATGTTAGCAGCCTCTTCAGCTTCCACATTCCAACCCAATCATATCCTGATATGGGTGGCTAAAGGATCGTACCCCAGCAATATTTGTTTGGAACATGCACAGTACATCCTCTTTACCGGTGGTGCCATTCTGCTTTCTAAAACAAGGGTTCTGTTCACAGCAATTGTCACAGCAAAGCTGACAATTAAGTTTGATAAATCTGACTTACTTTTCTTTCATTTTGGACATAGTGTGCAGTAATGTACCCAGTGACATCTTTTTTTAAAGTAATTTTTGTTACTAATTCTTCCTGGCCAAAAATGGCTAATCTGCTTCGCTAAATACGTGAACAGCACTTGGAAGTGTTTATGGTTGGAGGAAAAGGAAGTACTTGAAATTTGTCTCTTGTACCCTTGTTTAAGAGCTCAAGTAAAGAATATAAGGTGAACCCCCCTTTTTAAATGGCACTTTACAGAAATTAAACCAGCAACAATGAGCTACTTGAATTTACCAAAACAACGATGATTTTTCCTGTTGTTTATTGCTTTGCTAGCATCTTGTTTAGAATACATGTAGGAGCAAATTAGTCAATGACTGATATATCTGGAAAATGCTTTTTTGTCTGATTGTGTTAATGTAGAAAATTGGTAATTTATCACTTTTGGTTTGCAGAGAAGAAAGTTTGCTTCAGCTGTTCTGTAAGATGAGTCAATGTGCAGCAGCTCCGTCTGGAGGAATGGCTTTGTGCTTGTGAATTGCAAACAGCTGGAACCACCTCACACAGTCATCTATTCAACACCTGAAATTTATCATTTGGATACTTCATTCATGAATCTCATGAACAATGCAGGGAAATAAGAAACATACAGAAGGACATAGTGATTCCTCAAGTATTGGGAGTCTCCTGGATGATGCAGACAGGGAGGTGAGCAGCCTCACAGACCGAGCTTTCAAAAGTTTGTGTGTAGCAGAACTCGAAGACTCTTACAATGAACCAGAACTTGCCATTTCACCTGACTTCGCCCTCCAGTTGTCAGCTAAAATTCACTCAGGGACGTTAAACCATGACATCAAGAAAAGCAATGTCTGTAACAAGTTAACAACAAGAAACAATGAACATACAGTATGGGCTTCCACATTCCAGCAGTCACCAAAGTGTGCTCCAGAGGAAAAAAAGATTGCTAAAAATAACACCTTTGCCATGGAAAGGAAAATGCTGAATTTGCCAGTCCCTGGTCCAAGGAACAATAAGCATGTTTCAAAAGTGTCCTCATTGATTAAGACATTTGATAAGACTACAGACCAAGGATCAGGAAGTTCTCTGTTAGCAAATAAGCAGCCCATTAAGAATAGCTTTCAAAAATATAAAATAAATCATGACAATGATATTGCCTGCCAGGATGATACAGACATTTTAAGCATCCACAAGGAACTTCCTGAATTTTCTGAGGCTAGTCAAGATAGCCACTGTCTCAGTGGCAACCATGAGCCACAGAAAAGACCTAATAAAGCAGACCTGAGTTATGGTGGCTCTGATGGTTATTATCCTGTGCTGATTGAGATGTCAAAAGTAGCCAAGTCAAATTTTTCCCGTTCTTCTAAAAAGGCTTTAAAAAACAGAAGTGTGAAAGTTAATGAGCCAGAAAAAAAAGGTAATTTTCTTCACAGTGAGAATAGTGCTTTTGAATCATGGAACGTTCATCATAAAAAATTGACTGAAAAGGAGAAATTTGTTGATATGAAAACAGAAAAGGAAGGCCTTGCATACCTGGAAGAAGCACCGCTTATTAAGGGATCCCACACGCGTGAACATAAATTGTCACCTGTCATGACCACTGCTGCTAAGAAGCAGGAGAAAGAATTTCAGATGAAATCAACTCCACCAGAAGCTGCTTTCCCTGTCCCAGCTGTGTATGTACCTCAGGGTTCCCTCCCTTCAGAAACCGAATTTCCTGCTGCTTTACCACCCACACCTCCCCCTAGGAACCATGCACACCAGGGTCCCCCTCGGCCACCCCCTGCCCCACAGGCACTTCCACTTCCACCCCCCACCCAGAAGGGTCATACCCCAACACCTCCTACCCCTGAAGCCCCTCCTGTGCCACCACCCCCAGTGCCAGCTCAACTTTCCCCCTCTGCCATGTCCCAAGCCTCTGTCTCACCCCAGTCTGTGTCCTATAGGACAGTTTCACCCTCACTCACATTTCAGGCACCCAGCCCACCTCCAGCAAAGCCCCAGGCCACCTTAACTGAAGAGGAAGCCCTCAGCACCCAACTGGGCAATACCTGTCCACCCTGGAGGAGACAGAGGGCTACAGACAGGACAGCAGAGAGGAGACAGACTGCAAAGGACAAGTTCACAGACAGCCACAAGCCATGCTCATTGCCTGAAAAGGTGACTGATGCTGAACCTGGTCTGGAGGTGACTTCTCTGGCTAAACAGGTAAACTCCTCTGGATCAATCAGTCCCTCTTTCAACATCACTGAACTACTAACACCTGTCATACCACCCAAACAGGTGGTGGACACTGTTGAAAGCGAGCTGATCCCATTGACACCTCCTCCCACTGAGAGCACAGCGTCAAGAGACCATGGGGAGAGCACCTGGGGTGATTATAGGTCTTGGGATAATTACAAATTGACAGCATCAAGTCTGTTATTCAACTTGAAAGATGTGCGCAAACGTGTTAAAAGCATTTATACTCCTTCTCCCCTGTTAAGGGCCTTGGAGGAGAAAAATAAAATTAGGGAAAATATACAGGAGAATACAAAAATGAATACCTCACTCTTGACTTTGCAAGGAAACAGTAAGAAAAATATTACCGAGAAAGATGATTTGAGTGATATAGCCTCTGTATTGTCTAGCAGTGTTCATGAAAAGGACAATAAAACTGATTTAACTGAACACTTTGCAGACAATTACCTGACTTTGAGTTCACCCCAGACAACAGCAGACCTTTCATCTTACCAAACTGGAGACAGCTTGCAGCAAGATGATTCAAAAGGCAAAGATCTGGTTAAAAGCACGAGGGATGATGAAAACTTCCCGTTTTTCAGACATGAATCAAATGAACCTGATTTAGGAAAACGTCTGCAGTATTCAACACCAAAACCATTCATTAGAGACAATGTAGCTACAACAGCTGGACAGCCCATGAAAAACCATGGTGTGCAGGGTGAAGAAAATGACAGACAGGCTGCTGTTCAGAATGAAAATTGTACCTTCAAAATACTCATACACCAACTCTCACCAGCAGAGGATGTACTTTACAGTGACACCCACACTAACATTGTGGTACCTGGCCATGAAGCACAAAGCAAAAGAAGCACCAGTTCTTCAGAGCAATCTTTTGTCTCCACAGTGGAGCAGCCACTTCAGGAGGAGCCATTTCTACCAGTGCCCCTGATACAGAAAACATACCTTCAAGAAAGTCAGAGGCCTGAGCATGAAATGAATGCAGACAGTAAGAAAAGACACAAGGAGAGAAGGAGAGAGTTTGGGGAAGATGAAATGCAGGATGTTGCTTGTATCAGCCCTGGTACCGGTGCAGCAGAGAAGAGGGAGGGAAAGGTCAGTATAAATGGACAGAATAGTTTGGTGAAAGAGAAACTAAGGAGAGAGAAAAAGGAAGAGGCCAACAGCATGAATTCTGCTTCTGAGAGTATAAGGGACATGTCCATGCCCAGGTGTGAGGAACCACAAACACCATCATCTTCAAGCTCAACCAAACCCAGTCTGTTTATGATTAAAGATAACACATTCAGGTCACCTCAGGTAATAAGGGCTGTCAAGATGCCCCTATTCAGGTCCTTTTCCCTAGATGATACAGTGAGCAGCAGTTATAGGGAAATGCAACGTAGGTTTATGTCCCCAGCAGTTTACAACAAGCAGCACCGAAACATGTTGCATGCCCAGGAGGTAGGCTGGTTTGCACTGAGATGCAGAGGGCAGCAGAACGTGAGGGATGGAGCAAATGAGAGAGGTAAAGAAGCCAGTGAGCCTGGATCTACTTCAGAAACATTGGATCTCAGTCTTCCAGAAGATACAGAGAGCTTTTTGTTAAAGAAACAGATGGAAGAAGATGAAAAGACTTGTTCTTTGTTAAGTAAAGTTGGGAAAATCAATGAAGAAAGTGTCTGGAGAAGTAAAGAGAAGCCTCAAACTACAAAGGCAAGACACAGCTTAATACAGCCAATAATAGGTCTGGAAAACAATCAAGTTCAAAACAACCCCAGCTATCCCACAGAAAAAAAGGCAAATTACTTTAAGAATCATCATTTATCTAACCGCAAAGGTGGCTCTTGTGTGAAAAAAATAATCACCAGAGACACAATTTCCCCTGTGACTGACTCTATATCAGAGGACCACACATATTCTCCTGTATCCAATGATGCTTTAGAGGACATCCTACATGCAGAAGGTGCACCAGTTTTGTTAGACAATCTTACATGCTCGACTGTTACAAGCCCCAGGTCAGGCAGCACGATGCGCTCTCTTGCTGCCAGTTCATTGTCAAATAAACCAACTATTTCTGGCCTCAGAGAGACAGAGGACGTTATAAATCCTTCCTTGCAGAACATGGCACTAAAGAGACAAGCTTATATGCCTGCAGAAGAGGTACCTGATTTAACACAGAGGAATCTGCTTTCTGATTTTGCAGGGGAAGCTGAGAGACTGGAGCCCAGGGGACTTGGTGAGAGACCAGAATGCAAGCCACCCACTGTGCCACCAAAAACAGAAAAGGCTCTGCGTCGGGCCAAAAAGCTGGCAAACAGGAGAAAGAAAATGCAAGAGCAGCAGAAAAGACATCAGACTGAGCATATAGATGCTGTAGGGAGAAAGCCTTCTCATTCTGGACACACACTAGTATCTGCTTCACCCTTGGGATATTCTCCCTTCCATCCTCCCCTTCACTCAGCTTTTAGTCCCACAGAAACCAATACTGGAAGACCTGGTGCTACACCAGGAGTAAGCCCTTCACCCTCTTCCAGCCAGCGTAAACTCCTCCAAGACCCTGACTCTGGTCAATACTATGTAGTTGATTTACCAGCTGAAGTTAATTTAAAGACATTTTATGACCCAGAAACTGGAAAATATGTTCAAGTCACAATCCCTTCCTTGGAACAATTCCCCTCTTCAGAAATTATGAATTCTCCCTATGCCTTCTACCCTAGAGTGCTGCCTTTACCAGCTTCATCTGTAGCAGTGCTGAAGTCACCTTCTCATCTCTCTGAACCCACCTGGTCAATGCTTGCTGTACCAGAACCAGCTGAACTACCTGAAGATGGCCAGCAGGACTACAAATATGCTGAAGCTGTGGATACTCAGCCCTATATTGAACCAGTCTCTGACAGTCAAGGTGCTGAAGAAACTCAAGTTCACTTAGGAAAGGACATGACCCCAACCCCAAATACAGGCATAGTACCCCTCACTGATCTAGATGATTTTGCTGCTGAAGGGGTATCTTGAAAACTGAAGAATCTAAATATGCCAGATAATGTTTATAAGAACTGTTTGGACAGACACATGCACACAAAAACACATGCAGATTTGACGTTTGTACAACACTTTGTCTGAATCTCATTGTGGCTTGGGTGGGAAGGAAGATGAAAGCTAACCACATTGAAAAATGCAAGGTGATGATCATTCTGAAGAGGAGTGAAATTGAGTAAGCACCAAATTATCAGTGAGACGAAGGGGCAGTGCCAGCTAAACAAATACATATGACAGTATGAAGCCACTGCTTGCTGCTGCTGCTGCTTTGCCATTAAGGAGGCTGGGACAGCCAAAGCAAGTGTCCTTTTGCCCAGATGTGTTGCATGATATACGACACAAAATAAAACCTATGAGACCATCCTATCCATCCTATCAGATCTAGGAAGGACATATGCTGCATCTACTGAACTTTCCTCACTCACTGCCTATGAACTATATTGACAGGTAGAAATTACATGGCTACAAATATTCCATATATGCAAGATTCTTCTTTTTTGCACACATTGATTGCCCAGATGTTATTGACAAGATTGTACAACCAAAATACAGTTGCAGCTGCTCTAGACTTTCTCATATATTTTTGCAGTGCCCACTAACATGCTGCTGAATTCTTTGTATTTCTTGTTAATATCCAAATAGGTTCCCCCAGAGTTGTTATTTATAATGCAGCTTAAAACTTCCATTTAACTTGATACTTGGCCTGAAATATTTTGGCGAGGAACAAGGTTGAATGAAATCTCATAGCAGTATTTAATTTTTTGTTCGGATGAGGAGTTCTTTGCTTATTGTAATTGAAATGTGTTTTGTTCTGTTTTCAGGCTCCCACTGCAACATGGCAGTAACTTTTAAAACCTGAAAAAGGCACCTAATCTTAATCTTGTGAATTCTATGATTTAAAACAAACAAAGGTACAAAACATTGATTTATAGAAAAGTGCTTCTTTGAATTATCACTTTTCTTTGAAAAATCTGTATCAAAATATCACTCATCCTTGCTCTTTATTATCATCATAGATAATGAGGGAACCTAGGTGAAAAGATGGAAAATTTGAATGTACTATCCCTGCTTATAAATATCTATATTGGAGTATTGGTTTAGGTTTTTTCTGTCTCATTTTCATACTGTTTTCCCCAATTAAAACTGAAGTGCAGGAGCTCCAAGGAAGAATTAGGCCAGCGACTTTCAACCTGATGAATCTTAGGCTATTTTTGCAGGATTGTTTTCAGTGAAGCAACTCTTGACTTCCTGAAAAGAAAAGGAATATCTATTGTTAATAAATACAACATGGAATGGCACACAGGCACTGCTTCACTCTCCCAGTGTTAATATTTATGATAGAGGTTTACTTCAGTAAATTTTCCAGGACTGAGCTGCTCTCAGGACACAGACCAACAGTTGGCGGCTTGACTCCTTCCTTAACCTGGATTCAGCTCTCAGCCTTCCTCCAACCCTGACAAGAGCCATGTGTTCAGAACCTGTCCTGAGCCCACCAGACACTTCTTTTCATCAGGGCTGTTTGCTAAAGCATTTCCCATAGAGGGGCTAGACAAACACTAAGGGAATCACTTCATCGATTTCAGTGGTGTTTGGATTTAGTCTTTAATGATTTTCTAAGGCTCATTTCACCTGTTATGCATTTTGTGACTTGGTAGGTTTGGTTGCAGCAGACGTGTGGGGTGGAAATGGAGAAGCTTGTACTGGTATGGTTTGGGGTTTGAGCATATTCAGCCAAATGCCCATATTAGAATAAGCATTTATTGTTCAGTCTCCACACTGGAAAGTTTTCAACACCTGACTGGATCAAGTCCTGAACAACCTGGGCTGGCCTGAGAGCTGATCCTCCTTGAGCAGGAGGTTCATCCAGATACCTCCTGAGATCTTTTGCAGCCTGAATAATCCTGTGATCCTGTTCTGCAAGCATTAAAATTTTTAAACCAACTTCGACTTAGAACTCAGAAAATGCAGACAGTCTCCCCTGCGCTCATTTTGAAAGAATTTTTTTTCAAAATGAAAATCAAGAGGGTTTCAGAAACAAGAATTAATTTTCAAGTTGTTAAATTAAGGGAAATGTCTGTTATTATAAACATTTTTCCTTTTGGTCACAGACATTTTGCTAAACTGATGGTGCTATTCATGTTGCACTTCTCTGTTGCTGTCACTGTATACAGCATAATGTCTATCCAGTATAGAGCAGAATCTCATCCACATGTCAAAATATAGATAAATAGATCTCTTAGAGTTTTCCATGGTACGTTTAGACAAAACCTATGTAATCTGGAAGCCTAGCAGAATGCACAGGCCATTTTTTTTGTGTGACATTACAAATTGAAATACCCTTAACAGCCATAAACCAAGAAGTAGGGTCTCAGATGACAGGATAAAAGCTTGCTTTCCAAGGGGAGACTATGGATACAAAGTATCTGTGCACAGATGAAAAATAAATGGTAACTTGACAACAAAAATGTATGGCTGTATTAAAAAAAATCCCTTTTACTTGGTTAACTGTCATTTGTTTTGTAGATGTGCATGATTCTGTGCCCTTTCTTCAAGGGTCTTCTTAAACTCTTATTGTGAAAAGAATGGGATGCTCCAATATACTACTGCTAGGTATGCAAGGAAAGCAGGGTGTATTTTTCACTTCGCTGTGAAGGTAAACTGAAATGTGGGCAGTCCTAACTTGGATACCCAACACATTTCAAGTAGGACTTCTTCATCCTTTCTGCTAGCTTCAGGGAGCTGCATTCACAGTGGACTGTCTCTCTGAACATGTCCCATAGGGATTTGAATTTGTAGCTAAATTGTTGTAGCAAGGTAGAGATTTTCTCCAAGGTAACAAGTGACAGGACTTGAGAGATGGCCTCAAGTTGCTCCAGGGAAGGTTTAGATTAGATGTTAGGAAAAATTTCAGTCACTGGAACAGGCTGCTCAGGGAAGCAGTGGAATCACAATCCCTGGAAATGTTCAAGAGGCATAGTGAACACTTGGTGCGAGGTTAACTGTTGGACTCAATGATTTTAGAGGTCTTTTCCAACCTTAATGATTCTATGATTCTATGAAATGAAATAAACAGAACAGAGGAGTTTTCAGAACAGATAAGAAAGTGGTTCTGGTGATGCATCCACAGCTTTCCCTAGAGCACTTTGCCACAGGGAGTGAATGATACTAAAAGTATTGCTCAGGTCCCAGCCTGGTATTGACTCGTTTGAGCATGAACCCATCAGCAACCTGTCTCTATCCTAGACCATGCTGTTGACCAACTTCTTGCTAGGCTGTGGGAGTGTGTGTGTACAAACACACACATGCATCCACATAAACAACCCTATATACACATATAAAAATATAATATATATACCTATAAAACTGCCATTTGCATATCAGTATAAGACTGCAGAGATGCCTGTGATGGTGAATGCAAAATGTTTGTGCATTAAAAGGAAGACAAATGACACCTTTACAAATAACAAATTTTTTTTTTCTATTTGTGTTTGTGGGGGGAATATTTTCCATTGCTGCTGTGGAAAACAAGGCTGAAAGAGGTCAGTGCTAGGCGAAATGACAGTTGTGAATTGACCCCTTTCTTTGGGGAGGGATGCTATGGGAAATGTGCAATAGTCATGAAAGCAGTTGTAGGAAAGCATTGCTTCATGACAGTGTCATTAAATTGTAGGTTAAAGAGGTGTTGAAGCAAACTAACCTGAATTCTGCCTTGCCAGCAGATGGTGGTTAGGACTAGAGAACACAGCAGACTCTTTGCATGCACAGAAGCACAGCAGGCTGAAGGGAACAGGGGCCATGGCTTTCACTCTTCCCTTCTCCTGTACGTGGCCTTTTTGCATGGTGCATTTCTGGCTGCCCTGAGGCTCGTTTACAGCAGTGGATCTTGGCAGATGTGACTGAGGCCAAACATGATTTACCTAGTCTTTGGTTCTAGGGCCAGAACTGCCTCCTTTAGAGCCTTCTTCTCTTTCTGGGGCAACTGCAATGCCTCCAGTCCAGTTGTCACATGGCAGACTTGGTCTGCCATCCCACAGCTATGGCTCTGTCCCAAGGGCTTGAATTTCTTCATGCAAAATGCTAGATTTGTTTTAGAGGGTTCAGTTTAATTGAAATGGCCTCTATGCATGGATTTTTGTCAACTTCTCCTTGGGTGTACAGTGCCTTCCTAAATCACCTGTCCAAGAAAATGTGTGTCATTGGCACGTTCCATCATTGCAACTGTATTTACGAATAAGTAATTATTTATTAATTAATAAACAAAATAAATGGGACTTGTTTTACAATACTGGAATGACTTCTAGCCAGCTTTTTCGTTGTAATTATGTGTCATTGTAATTTTACCTCCAGTTATGCTGGCAGAAAAGAGTCAACAACATGGAAGTGTGTGTGTGCATGTGCATAGTGCACAATTAAAAGATCTAGGAGATGACTGGATGAAGGGCTTCATTCCCCTTCCTCCCTTTTCTGGAGAGAGAGAGCAGGAGTCTGGGCAGGAACACTTTGGGCCCAGTGATCATTCTCACCCCTCCTTGCTGTGTGAGGGCAGTGGTCTGGCCAGAGGACCCTGGGGATGTGGTGCCAGCACCCAGTCCAAAAGCACTGGAAGAGGATCACCTTCTTGCCACCACTCAGAGGACATCAGGGCTTTTTTATTCCCTGTGCCACATCCTCCTGGGGGAAGTTATCAGGTGTGTAACTTGGTGTAATTTATCTTTTTTTCACATCTCTCCTCAGTTGCTCTTATTGTATGTTGCATTATAAAACACAATGGAGACTCCTCTCGAAGTGATTTTGGTTTGGTCCTTGTCCAGACCGGCAATTATATTTAGGTCTGCTCTACTTTGATCCCTGACTAGCCAAGCAGTCCTTGCTAACCGTCAAATGTTACTCTGATTTGAATATAACAGACCGTGAAAAGCAGAGTGGGCTAGTTATGTTTTTTACCAGAAATGCATTGACAGATTTGCACATCTGTA